AACACTGGGGTACAGATGGCCCTTATTTACACTACAGGATAGAGAGAATTTTTAAGATCCCTTTAATCTCTGGAACTCTATGGATCTAAGATTGATGTGCTAAGAAAAAGACATACTCAACATACCTTTAATAAATATTGGAAACAGAAATAAATCCTACAAAAAATCGGTGTATCTGGAACTATTTCTGTTGTATCTGACATTATTTCCAGGAATATATTCTTAAACTTTAGTCACTTCTGAAGAGCATCATATCTCACAGTAACAAAATAACTCATATGTGAGATTTCAAGTAAATACCTAATAACATAAGCACTCGCAACCTAGGTAGAACTTAATTCATCAAAACACAAAAATCCAATTCCCTGGAGTAAGATCCATAACTTTCCCATATTATTTCCTTGGGAAATAATTCCAATGATGTGACCCCTCACCCAGATAGGAAGATCACAGATTTGCTTGCCAGAAAGATTTCAGTGTAAATCTTGCCACTGCTGCTTCTTGGCTGTAAAGATGGGCAATTACTTAACCTTCTGGAGTCTCAAGTGTTTCATCTATAAAATGTGTATAATAATGTCTATCTTGGAAATATATGGTAACAATAAATGCAGATAATACATGTACAGTTTGTATTATGGTACCTATGATATAATACCTGGGCCAGTCTAAGTCTTGCAAGAAGCCTATGCCAAGAAGGAATTCGATATACGTTAGTACCGTGAAAGAGCAATTCTTATAAGGAAGAGGGATGAAGGATAGCTGGGAGAGGTGCTAGACTGTGGTAATATTGCCTGTCACGGGAATCACATAGAAATGAGCCTATCTTATTATCACTGCCATACTCAATAACTAACTGGAAGTAACCTGTGCAGAGCTTGGCATTGGTGTAAATGTGATGATGGCTTTGGAACATTTAGTGCTGAGGGTGGTTGATCAATTACCATGTAGCAACTAAAGATCTGAGAGACAAATTTTCATGATTGCTAGGCTCTGCACCCTTTGCAGCACAGACCTACTTTTCCCCAGCCAAGTTCAGGGAGCATCTGTTTCATGGGTCCGTGGATTCTGAAACTTCCTGAGGGGGAACTCAGAAGAGGCCCGTTATGGAATCACTGTAGTCCCTGTGGTTTCAATCGATCTCAGGACCTCAGGTCCTTTGCTTCTCCTTCCTCTACTATCCAGTCTGGATTCCCCTCATTTATGAATCTGGCAGGTCATAGTGGCTGAACTGATAGCCTGAATACATCTTTAATTCTTGAAGGTTAGCATTTTCAGGCCACAGTTGTTACAAAAGAGTAACAAGAAGCCCCAGGTGTATCAGCTGGGTTCCACAGGTATTTTTCCCTGCCGCAATTGTGTGAAATCAGCTTAAATGCCCTATGGATGAACGTATTATGAACTACGTGTAGTGGCTGCTGGAACGAGCTTGCACTAGCTAGCAAATTTTCAGTGAGATCATGCTGATAGTTTGTACTTAACATGGAGGGAGTCTTCATACCACATAAACAAGAAAATGTTACAAATATGTTGCCCCCCCCCAACCCCCAAGGAGAACCAGCTGTTAATTATTTACCAGCCCTTCAGTGAGTATGTGATACTCTCACACATTCTTTACTGGGAAGTCCATGCCCTCATTGAGCGATATGCTGTGGGATGCAGTGTTTGTGGATCAAGCATTGTAAAGCTTGTAATGCTGGCTGAGCCTCTGTGAGTGGCGAAAGCAAACTGTGCCCAAAATGGGTATATATATATATATATATCCATTTTGGGCACAGTATATATATACGTCAGGACAAAACCACTGACTCGGAGATGAGAAAATGGGTCCAGTAGAGTCAGCTGGCTGCAAGTGAATAATGCCATATTGGGTACTCAGTATTGAAGTTTTATGTATTAAGAGAAGCAGCATTTTTAAAAAGATTTTATTTGTTGATTTGTGAGAGAGAGACAGATAGTGACAGAGATAGTGAGAAAAAGAGCACAAGAAGGGAGGGGAAGGAGAAGCAGGCTCCTGCTGAGCAGAGAGCCTGACCCAGGACTCCATCCCCGGACTCTGGGATCATGGTCTGAGCCGAAGGCAGACGCTTAACCATCTGAGCCACCCCTGGCCCCCAAGAAACAGCAGTCTTAAAATTGTGTTCATACTGTCAATTTACACAACGCCAAGGAAATGCATAGTTTAATACTCCAGATTTGGAATGCCTGGGTAGCTCAGTCAGTTAAGTACCCGCTTTTGGCTCAGACCATGATCCAAGGGTCCTGAGACTGAGTCCTGCATGAGGCTCCCTGCTCAGAGGGGAACCTACCGCTCCCCCTGCCTGTGTGCTCTCTCTCTCTTACACATAAATAAATAAAATCTTTAAAAAAAAGTACTTCAGATGTAGTGCATATGAACTGGTTCCAGATTGTCAATCTTCTGGTTGTCTTTTTTTCTTTTTTTTCTTTCTTTCCTTTGTCTATCTCAACCATCCACATTAACACCTGTAGTAGCAATAAGAAAGTCAATTGAGATTATGATTCACTTGGTTATACGTTATAAACTTTATGAGAAAATAAATAGCCTAAATTGTACTTTGATAGATTTCAAGCATTTCAGTACCAGAGTGCACATGCCATTCATTTCTCTCCCAAACCATGAAGGAAACAGTAGTTAAAAATGAAAAAAAAAAAAAAAAAATCAGTGTGTCTAAATATAAAATCTAAAGTTATAGTTTAAATGTACTTTGAAGATAAATTCTAAAGATAAATGTAGAATTAAATTCAGTGACCTAATTTCCTAGATCAGGTACTTAAGTTAACTTAGAGACATAATATTATATTTCTATATATAAATTTACCTGAAAATAAAATTAAGTAATATATTCTGGAAATAATGTCTCTATCAAATAACTTATAAAATTCCTATAAAATTAATGACTTGGTTTAATTTATTCATTTCATAGTCATATATGAAGACTAGCTGCTCAGTGGAGGAAAGACAATGTTTAAAAATTGTAGGTGCTAAAGAAAAAATAGAGCTTATTTATAGCAGCTTTGGGAAAAAATTCATTATGAAATAAATCAGGTTTTAAGTAAGTAAAAAGCACTGTTCTCACTGAATAGTGCAATATTTCATGGCTTGAACTGTATTAGGACATTTTATTTTGGTACATATATGTTATTAAAGATAATAGCCACTGACATCAGCAATGAGAAGTTTTATGATAAGCAAATTAATAAAAAATGAATGTCCCTCAATATGTAAGTTCAAATGGTACTTTTGATTTTTCATTTTTGCTCTTTTATTTGCTCACCAAAGAGAATGATTATTTTCTCAATTTATTTAGACTTTTTTTCTTTTGTAGTATCTATTTCTCTTGAATCTTTTTTTAAAATAATTTTATTTTTTAATATTTATGAACTTTTTACACATTAGGTAGGCCGATGATATGTTACCGTTTTTGTAATAGTTTCTACCATGGTTTACATTTTAATTTTTTATATTGTTTTTGAGTTAACTAAGGGGGTAGGTGACTCTCAGGAATTTTGCTCATAGTTACTCAGTTATTTATCTGACCATTTGTTTTTGGAGTCCTGGAGTACTTTTTATTCCTCTGTCCGAACTTAAATATTTGTACTTCTCAGGTACTTTTATCGTATGCCCTTCCCAGGGAGATATATGCCATGTCTGACTTCAAATTGTGACCAAGTTATGATGACTTTCACATTTACATTATCATATCTAATATCTCCTGCACTCTAGCCAGATTCCTGCAAATTGCCATCTGGGTATTGCCCACTCACCCCAAATAAAAAAAGCCCCAAATTATACTTGTCAACATTCTCTACCCCCATAAATGTGTTTGCCTAAAGTAAAGAGCAACAGCCATCCCGTGTGAGAAGTCTGAACTTGCTTTATCTCAGATACATTCTCTCCTCCCCCTCTACCACTATATCATAAATTCCCTTAAATATGCCATTTCATCTTCTTTCCATGTGCCACTGCTTTTGTTCAAATGCCATTTCCTTTATTATTGAGAGACTGGTTTCTTTCCAATTTTTCAAAATGGTTTTTGTAAATTTCCTATTCTAATTATACACACACACACACACACACACACACATATTTGTCAGGTCAACTCTAAACTCTTTGTCAAAAAATGCAATTAGCTTTAATTGTTAAGGAAATATTCACAATAGGATTTTGAGAAATATGTGTATTGTAGTTGGCTTTAGTATCACTTAAATATTTAAATTTTCTAGAATGAAACTTGTATTATGTTCAGAAGCATAAATGAATTTCTTCTTTAGTGAGACATTTTGATGATAGCAGCAACATTATGAATGTTTTCGATAAAACAGTTTCACAATTAGACCAATACTCATATGCTCTGTTTTATTTAAAAATCAGTGATGTTTATAATACCTGTGCTACTTAGGCAGTCCTTCCAAATTCCTGATAGAAATCAGTAGATGATAATAAACAGACAGACTTTGACATTATTAAATGATATATGAGACAGGCTAATTTAGCCTTTGACTTATCCATCATTTACCATCCGAAAGTCTCTTTTGAAGTAAAATTGCAGTTCTATTACTTTAAAAAATATGTATCTGCCCATAATTTGTCATTAAAAAGGCATTAATTTTTCAGAAAAATCACTAATAAATGTAATCCCTGTTTGGTTCCAGAAGGCAAGGATAAATAAAACATGAACATTATTTTTACGTCAATTAATTTTACAAATCACCCTTCATCAAGATTTTATGTAAAAATGATTACCATTTATTTTCCTTATGATATGTGAAGAAAACCTTTGTTTTACATTGTGATAACATATTTACTTTTTTATGTTGCTTTGTAGCAAATGGAAGTAACCAGAGATTTTAAAGGTAGTGATGCTGGTTATTACTGCAAAAGTAAGACCAAGAAAGGAGGAAAGTTGGATGGTAGGAAATTTCTCAAGCTACTCTGTACTGAATTTGTGGTGTTGAGTATGGTTCTGTTTTGCTTTACACAGGTGATTAAAGCAGTAGAGGAAGGCTACCGTCTGCCAAGCCCCATGGACTGTCCTGCTGCTCTCTATCAGTTAATGCTGGATTGCTGGCAGAAGGACCGAAATAGCAGGCCCAAGTTTGATGAGATCGTCAACATGTTGGATAAGCTGATACGTAACCCAAGTAGCTTGAAGACGCTGGTTAATGCATCATGCAGGTATGAAGCCAGACCTGAGAGATTTTCTTCATGTAGTTAATTCACACTGATGCCATGAACATTAAACCAATAAAATCATTTTTATATATGCTAATCTATGGAGCTATATGACACTAATTTATCTAAATACAGTTTTTGCATAGTGTTACTCTCTTAAAATAAAATATTCTTATTAAATAATTTAAATAATTAAAAAGCCAATGCCTAATCTAACAGTGAAAATGCCAGTTTCAATAAAATGTTTATTGTAGCCAAGTTTAGGTCCATTAAAAAAAGTAAATGAGAGGTGCCGGGGTGTCACAGTCAGTTAAGCATAAGACTCCCCATGGACTCAGGTAGTGATCTCAGGGTCATGAGATCAAGCCCCAGGTCAGGCTCCCTGTTGATCAGGGAGTCTGCTTGGGATTTTCTCCTCCTCTCCCTCTGCATCTCCCACTTGGGTGCTCTCTCTCTCTCTCTCAAATAAATAAATCTTAAAAAAATATTTTTAAAAAGCCCAAATGTGTGTATTTTGATGTGTTTTGAATCTCACACAGGTGTGTATAGGGCAAAATAAGATTATGAGATCACACAGAAAAGCCAAATAAGCACAAATAAGCATCTCGTAAACCAGAAGTATCTAAAAATAATTACTCTTTGATTTCTTTATAACAGATTTTAAAGTCTGTCATATTTTATGAACAATGACAACTCCTTTAGAGATTCTTTGCTTTTATTTGGTTGTACACAGATATTTGGCTAATCATCTACTGTGAAGTTGCAACAAGACTTAAAGTTGATAAATGAGTAATTTGTGGAAAAAGATTGGTATGAACAAATGAGCATTTAAAAAAAATTCTGAATGCACATGAATACATTTAAATAATCCTGTATATTTGTAAAACATGCTTTTCTTTTTAACCTGATTAATTACATAATTATCCTTTAAAAAATTGTTTCTGTACTTTAAAAAAATTGCCAGATAGTTATTTTCACTATATTTGAGGCAGTTTTTAATTTTTACAAGAAGTGTGACCAAATTGGCTGCCTATTAGTGCGAACTAAATGAGAAATAATTTGTTGATAAAGTTACATAAGTCCTATGATTCTGACATAACATTTGTTTACTAGGCAAAAAGTCATTTTTAAATACAAATGAGAAATGAATCTTCAACTTCTCTTCAAGCGTCATTAACGTTCTGTAGTAACAAGTGGTGAATTTCTCTTCTTAGCAGTTATTCCTGAAATATCTGCTTTTTAATTATTTATTATCACGTAAATACTAAGCATTTCTTTCATCTACTTGTTTGAATTATGTTGTCACAAACGGACATAAAGAAAGGAAACCGTAAAAAGACATTAGATATTCTAGATTGCATTAGTTTATATTGGTATCATTATAGATTAGGAACAGTTTAAGAATCTCCAAAAAAATTTCATATTTTTTGTGTGCAATATATAGAATGAGCTAACTAGGCTTCATTTAAACAGATTTGGCTTAAGACTATGCCATTTACTAACCATCTTTTTTCAGGCATCTACAAATCTTAATTCTAAAAGGTGTTAGTCCTTGTTCATTGTCTTTTCCTTTATTCTCATCCACGTCAAAAACTTGGTGATTTCTGTAAACATGTAGACGATGTTTGAATATCTCTCAATACCCTGAAATGTTCTCTTTCAATGATTTTGGTCTCTGCCTACGTTGAACTCTCCTTCTAATAGTCATGTTACAGAATTTGCTATTACTAAAATCTGCAACTCTTTCATAACTTCAACTTCAGGATCCTACTTTCCAAATATTTCTTCCTGTATTTCTATTTTCATCAAATCTTTGACTCCCACTGCTTAAAGGCTACAAGTCACAAGATACCCATTTATTCGTCCAGATAGTCACATGTCCATGTTGTGTCATGCTGTGGAGTAGGTGCTGATTATACAGCTTTGAGCAACGCACTATTGGAGGAGGGAGATATTGAACAAAATAAAAACATTAAAGGACAACTTTGGTTTTGCAGTAGAGAGTAAGAATAGAATTTGGGAGGGTAACTCTGAGGCTAGATAGTTGTGCAGGTAAGACATGTCTTGCACTGAAGTGGCAACAAATGAGAGAGGAGTGGTCAGATGCGCAATGTATTGGAGGTAGAATGGATAGTACACATAATGGTGGATTGTGAGGAGACTGAGGACAAGGGATGAGTGAACTGTTGGATCATATACTAGAGTAGGGAAGACTTCATGGGGAAGGGATGTGAAAAAGATGAGAAGTGTGGCTTCAGACATGTTGAGGGGATATTCCCATGATAAATATGGAAGTATGAAGTAGCTGTATGAATACATGAGAAACCTAGGCTGAAGGTAAAAATTAGAGAAAAATAGATGCTACGTGAAGCATAAAAGTGGGTAAAATTGCCTAGAATGGAATTCTAGCCTGAGTAGAGAAGATATAGGGCCAAGTCCTAGGTGCCTCCAAATGTTAAAGTCAGGAAAAGAGGTAACAGGCATTTATTACTGTAAATTAACAAGTACCCTTATGTAAGAGCACAAAATTGAAGAATAAATAACTTCTGAGCTTCCTGGAAAATAAGCATAAATGAACTTGAGTTTCTCTAGCAAAGTCTAAGAGCAATTGGCTTTACACAAATTATCCTTCATATCTAATTTTGGCAGTATTTTCTGTATTATTTTTACAAACAAAAAACAATAATGAGAAGTAAAATCTAAATCACCACATGGAATTTTTAGCTAATGTTTCATATCACAGAACACTTGCTTCTTAAGCCATTATAAGTTTTCATTGACTACAGGTAGAAAAAAATCTGAATTTTGTGTTCTATATTTTGAATAATTTTCTTCCATGTTAGTATATTTTTCCCTATAAATATAAACACAAAAACCCATTGATTGTGTGCTAATATCACAATTTGCTATAAAAGAGTTAAAGTGTTACTCTTAATATTGCTATTTTCTGTGTTTTAGGGTATCTAATTTATTGGCAGAACATAGCCCACTGGGATCTGGGGCCTACAGATCAGTAGGTGAATGGCTAGAAGCAATCAAAATGGGCCGGTATACAGAGATTTTCATGGAAAATGGATACAGTTCAATGGACGCTGTGGCTCAGGTGACCTTGGAGTGAGTAATTTTTCTGATAATTTTTACATAATTGCTGGGGCGAGAAAAATTGTTCAGAATCCAATCTGGATGAGGTCAAGGGAAATCAGTTAACCTTTGTCCATGTGTGACAGCTTTCAAGGAAGCCTCTTCTTTTTTAGCCTGTATTGTTAACAACTGCATGGTTAATGCTACTTGTGGCCAGTATCTTTGCTTCTTTGCTTCAAATAAATAACATTTGAATATTGGAATAATTGGAATAACAGCTCCTTGGCAAAATACTGGCATTTTGTGTTGTGGAAAAGATGTTTTTTTGACAAAGTTTTTATACTGGTACTTATGTTATATGAATGTAATTACAAAACAAACTGTAAGCACAATTGGTGTGGCTAGTCCTACGTAATGACAAAACATTTTCTTAAAATTTGGCTGTGATGAATATCTGGGTAGCAACAGCTCAAACAAAGCTTCCCAGGCAGGAATCTCATCTAATCTCTAACTGGTGCACCTTAATTCTTGCAATACAAGGATATATTAGATTCTGCCTCTGATTGTTATTTGGTACAATCTCAGTGGAACCAATTGTGCCCTTTTCTGTTTGCACGTTTAAGATAACATTTATCAAATCTTATAAATAAAAATCACTAGAGTTAAATATTAAATTCTTTAAGGTTGTAAGTTGTTTGTATTTTATTATATACTCTGTATGTGTAATATTTTAGCCTAATATTTGTTATTTGTGAAAATTATCTGTTGTTATGGTGGTTCCATCTAGCTTACATTAACACGAATAATGTTTTAACCTGTGAATATAATAACTTACTTTAAATTACCTATAGATTCAAAGGTTAAAATATTGTTGTAAGGATTAGAACATGGTAGACCATTGTAAAGCACTAAACCGCAGTCCTTATTCCATTACTTCATATAATATGAACATTGAGCAATTGTCTCTCACCATTTCTAGTCTGGCATTCTTTTCTTCATTGAATTCACAGTCCATCCACACGAAAGGTAACAGGGTACCATCATTTGTCACCAGATAATGTCACATTCTCAGACTTTCTCTTCCTCGTATCTATAACTATTGGACTTAAACTCACTACTCAGCATGTTCTCTCAATTTGCTGAATTTCATCCTCACCATCGCCTCCAAATTGTATCTATTTGATGACATATATGCTTTGCCCATTATTTCTTTGAATGCTCAAAGAACTCATTTGTGCTATATTTAAGATAGTAAACAGAAAATTTTGCTGATAATTTAAAACTATTTTTACATGATTGCTATTTAATTTTTCAGTAAAAATGGTCATTTTAATTTATTAAAGTCATTTGTCATTTTATATTAAAATGATACTGTAGGTATTTCTTCTACCCAATGTCAGATTACTTGTAAATATATAATAAAATTATTTGCATTAAGTGATGTCTCTCTTTTTATTAAAATAGCACCTATACATATATATGTATATATTTACATCCACTATTTTTCACTTCTCCCTTCACAGAATTGTTTTAAACACACATAATGGTTTTTGCATTAACTATCTCTCTTTTATTTTATCTCTTTGGGGCCCCAAATATGTTGACCACTTTAACTAACTTTATTTTAGTGTTTCATATTTCATTGCTTTTAATTATTTTCTCTTGACTTACTTGTTGACAACACTTTCCCCAAACTCTCTCCATTTTGTATGTTTTATTTCATGACTTAATAGCCTTCTATTATCTTCTAATTATGGTTCTCCACCCCATTTCTCTTCTCTAGTAGTTTTAGTCTGATCAGTTTTTCTCTACTTGGTTCTGCTTCTTCTCTTTGTCTCTATTGCTTTGGTATCCTGTTGCCTCTTGCTATATTGCCTCCTTTCAGATATTTTGTTTTTTAATTTATTTACCTTAACTGAAATAGTAAAGAGAAATTAGGACACTCGCTAACATCATCCTGTTCAGAGATATTGGTCTCCATGTGTCAGTTGCTTCAGGTTCCTGGGCAGATAATTGCCCGTTCCTTACTAGAAACTGAGGCAGCAAACCTCAAATCCAGTGAAGTTGATTTCTAGCGGCTTTAAATATATGTCCTCATCTATTATTTTTTAACCACATTTTTGCTATTTTATAAGAACATATTTATCAAAACATCATTTAAATAACTCAGAGAATAGTGAGTAATCATTTACTTGCTTGGTCAGGAATATAAGAGAGGGGCGCCTGGGTGGCTGAGTGGGTTAAAGCCTCTGCCTTCGGCTCAGGTCATGGTCCCAGTGTCCTGGGATCGAGCCCCACATCCGGCTCTCTGCTCAGCAGGGAACCTGCCTCCTCCTCTCTCTCTCTCTGCCTGCCTCTTGCCTACTTGTGATCTCTATCTGTCAAATAAATAAATAAAATCTTTAAAAAAAAAAAAGAGTCAGGAATATAAGAGAAAGGTTTCTGTGTATTTTGCTTGCCCTTCACCAAAAAAAATTATTGAAGACACATGGCAAAGTTGCTGGGTTATCAGCAGAGAAAAAGACAAGCTCTTAAATCTTTAGATAATGATTTTTTACACATGGTCTTTACCCAATATCCAAACACTAATTTTATGGAGGCTGCATAATGCTATAATAATATAATAAAATATTATTGTCAGTGTAATTGCCAAGGCATAATAGAAACTGAGAACTGGAAGTATACTTGTGATAAATTCTTAGATGGGGGAAAAAGTTAAGATCAATTACTATAAGACAAGAGATCAAACTGCCATATACTTAAAGTAAAACATTATGTTAGAATTTATGCCATCAAATTTGTTCTCATAGTGGGCTTAGAAAAAAGAATAGAAAATATTACAATTTTTCAGAACGGCATACTTTGATAAAAATTTTCCTTCATAAAAGTTTAATTTTGTGATTTCCTCTTTCTTCCTTTCTTCCTTCTTCCCTCCCTCCCTCTCTCCTTCCTTCCTTCCTTCCTTCTTTCTTCCTTCCTTCCTTTCTTTCTTTCTTTCTTTCTTTCTTTCTTTCTTTCTTTTTCTTTCTTTCCTTCCCTTCCTTTCCTTTTTTTCTTCTTTCTTTCTTCTTTTTGCACCAGCACACGCATATATGGCTTAATGTGGAAAGGAAATGAGAAACTTAGCAATCTTAGAATTAAAATGTATTCAGCAATGTGGTTTTCAACCTTAGGTGTTTCTGTCGGCCATTCTCTGTGCCTAAACCTTACTATTCTGTGTATAATACACAGAACAATTGTTGTGGCAGTAATAGTACAATCTGTACTTTGGTGTGTAAATGTAGAGACTTCTGGTTGATGGGGGAATTATAAGCTTGTAGTGAGTTGCAAATTGAATCCAAAGATCTGTATTAAGGACAGTAGTACAGTTGCTTTTTTAACTTGTTGTCAGACCGTATTGTCAACTTTTGATTATTCAGAAGACGAGCAAAATCCAACGAATTTAAATATTATGCCAATTGTATATAAATTGAAGAGATTTATGCTAGTATCATTTATTAAAATGGTGTCTTAGACTATTAAAATGGAGGTTTTACAAATTTAAGGCTAAAATGTATGCACACTAATTCAAGTAGATTTCTTATCAATAAAGACATCATGCATAATTTACTATATACCTAAAATACACACAGGAGTACTTACTCTCCTCTGCATTCTACATAATTAAGGTAAAGTTTCTAGTCTAGTTCATAGTTTGTAGTTCATAATGAAGCTAAAATTTCTAGTCTAGTTTATAGTCTCACCATGTCTCACTCACTGAAAACCATGACCAGTCATGGTTAATCTTTGCCAAATGTGGATATATTTATCTTGTATAGTAGATATATAAATGATTGTCAGGATTCTTCTAAAGGAACCAAAAATTTCAAACCTACCACTGCATGATCAAATTATGACAAAAAGAATAAACACTGGAATTTAATGAATATTTATTAATCTCTCTTCTCCCTTCTCCTATCCAGCCAGTATTGGTAGGGTAAATACCAGTGATATGGCTAAAAGATGTGTAAAGCAGAAGGGAGAAGAAGTGAGGGAATGACGTACCCATAAATGAATGAGCTAAATCCTGAATAATCAAGAGTTTTCCAACTGCAACTAGACACCTCTTGCTACTCTCTGTTTTTCATTCTGCCATTTTAGTATCATAGCATCAGTGTTTTCCATTGTTTAATATTATGGAATAACATTTAAAAATATGCTGAAATGTAATTACATCAATACCAATTCATTATATTCGCAGCTTTTCTAAAACTGGTTGTGTTTTGTTGACAAAAGCCAAGTTATTTTTATGTAACAATACTCTTCTTATTATGTTTAAATTCATAAGCTTCTGCTGAAATATAGTTCATCATCATTAGAATTGACTTTGGGTATTACTTAAGATTACACATGGTCATGATACATTTAGTATAATATTTATAAATGGAATACATTTAAAATTTTACCTAGCTATAAAATTTCCTATATAGAAAAATGAAATGAGTAAAATGGCATATCTTGAAAAAGTTTCTATAAGTAGAGCAGTAACTTCATCATTAAATGTAAAATAATTTTTATCAAATTTCTCTCACTTTATTACAGCTAACTTGACAATTTAATATATACTCTAAAGAGCAAAATGGCAATTCTTAGAAATCATGAAAGTAGGAACAAAACTACTTTAAATACCTTAATGCATTTATTAATATTGGAGTAAAGTTATTTAACCTTTTCTAGAAACGTTTTTATAATACTATTTTAATTGTCATTTGTCATATAATTAGAACAAATATTAAACAGGATTTCTTAAGAAAGTTCTTTGCTGGGGCGCCTGGGTGGCTCAGTGGGTTAAGCCGCTGCCTTTGGCTCAGGTCATGATCTCAGGGTCCTGGGATCGAGTCCCGCATCGGGCTCTCTGCTCAGTAGGGAGCCTGCTTCCCTCTCTCTCTCTCTCTCTGCCTGCCTTTCCATCTACTTGTGATCTCTCTCTGTCAAATAAATAAATAAAATCTTAAAAAAAAAAAGAAAGAAAGTTCTTTGCTTTTGAGAACAATTTTAACTTGCAGAAATGATCTTATTTCTCCCCGAACTTTTCACTGAAAATCACATTGCACAGAGGCATAGGTATATTGTATGCATTATAATCATGCTATTTCTAAATTTCTGCACAGTAATTTGACAGCTATTGAAATGACAAGTCAGATTTTAAAAACATCAGCACTCCATTAAAGACACACATAATTTATGGCAATATATAAAATGCGATGCTGTGTTTTTATAACTCCATTTCTTCCATGGAAAGAGGGATGGGAAACAGTTCGAATGGAGAGAGAGAGAATTTCTGTGGTCTAAGTATCCATGTGCATCTTAGGAGATAATCAGATTGTAAGTTGACCTTGAAATAAAATCTTATATTTAACTCACTGGGAAAATTTTTCAAAAATTAACTTAAAATCTAGATATATGAAATGTTTTGAAGAAAGAAATATTTTATTTGCCTATAAATACAAGCTCTATAACTACATCTACTAATCAAATACGATTCCTCAAAACATCTGTTCTTTAACATGATATAGATGTCATAAAAAATTTAAATATCCAAAACACTGAAACAGAGCTTTTCTTGTGGTCGGTCAAGATATTTTGATAAAATGAAGTCCTATTTACATATAATATAACAACAAGTTAAAACAGTGGCAATAAAAATAAGTTAAACCAGAGGTTTTATGTCAGTGAGACAACCAAGTGTTCAAATGTGGAGCATGTGCAGGCACGCAGACACACACCCCACACCCCCCCGCCCACCCACATGAACACACTTCAAATAGATTCCGGTATTGTATATTCAAAACCTATGCTATTTCAGTGAGAAACCTATAATTTCTTTCTCAGGTCTTTCAGAATAAATTTTCGTGATTATTTTCAAAAGCTCATCCTAATAATTGGATTAGTCATATAAATTGTACAATTTAAGTATATATATAACATCAGGACTTTCGAACCTGGATAAAACATATGTTTAACTTCATTTTGATGACTAATTATTTAAATTCTCTAGCAGAGAATGATTATTTCTGGGTTAAGACATTTTAGTTCTCTCACTTGACTTAGGTCCAAACTATGCTAGTGAGCACCCATGAATACCCACATCTACACAGTTCTTCTTGGTTCATAAGGTGTAAAAACATGAGAATGTTAATTAGCTCATAACTGAAATTGCCATGTAGATTGGGTTACCATAACCTCAAAGAAGTATGTGTTCAGTTTCCACCATTAAATGTCTTCTTTCTTTTAGAGTTTTTGATATTAGATGTTATCATGAGAACATTCTCATTTTACAGATAAATAAATGATTGGATGTAATTGAAGTACTTTGCTCAAAATTGTATCTCAGAGTAATGAGAAATTAAAAGAGTACAGACTTTGGCATCAGGTTCCTGGTTTTAGTATTAACCTTGCTACCCGCTAGCTGTGTTATCTACTCAAGTGATTTAAATTCTCTAAGCCTTCATTTTCTCATCCATGAATGATTAACAAAAAATCTATGTCATGGAGTTATATATTTTTCTAGCATATGGGAAAAAGACATCTTAATTTTCACCTATTACTTTTATATTAGTGCAATGGTTGTCAAGTGGGGGGAGATTTTTCTATTCACAGGACATATGGCAAACACTTTGTCTGTCACTACAAAGAGTCAACAGTGGTGCAATGTTTCTGGTATTTGGTGGATACAGGCCTGGGATGCTGTTAGATATTCTATAATGCACAGAGTAGCCCCTTTAACAAAGATTTATCCAGCCCATAATGCTAACAGGGGCAAAGCTAAGGAACTGATGTAGTAGAAAAAAGAAAAAAAAGAAAGACAATTAGACTCGAGCTTTTCTTATCCTTATGCTAGTCATTATCTATTTTATAGCCTATTTCATAACTAAGAACAGTGATTTTGTTTCAAAGTGATTTATTTATTGTTTTCTTTTAATTTTTGCCAATGATTATCTTCCATGACCATACACACACACACACACACACACACACACACACACACACACATACATATTTTTGTACTCTGGTGCCTTATGGATTTAATACTTTCTAATGTTCAATATTCACATTCTAAGAAAGAAAGAACTATGTTTCCATCCTAAGTATCAATGTATCAATTGCTTCTTTTTTTAGCTCCTTGCCATTTGCTAAAACTCCCCTAAAAAATCGAGAAAACATAAAAGAAAAAAGAAACCTAAGATATTATTTAAATAAGCAATTATTTCCAACATTAATATATATGTAGAACATCTGTACCCATTTTTTAAATTTCTATTCTCTGATAATCAAGAGATTTACTTGTTTCCAAAGCTGTCCAATTTGACATATAATGATTTTCATGTCATTGTATCCAATTCTAAAGAATTCTGAGATACTCTGAATGCAAAAATATCCTTTGAGTATAATATATTCAATAAAGTAATTATCTAAAGAAATCTAATATGGCAAATAGTTTTGTCACTTAAAAATCTTGATTTGTTCTTTTTTCCCCTGTAATTAATGCTACCATTTGCCAAATGTACCTGAATAATTTTATTTGCCAAATACATACCCTAAGGGTATATAATTTCTGAATAGCCCATGAAATAACAATTAATAACCATGGGCATTGACTGTGGGTTCCATAATATGCTGTTAGTTTAGAAATCTAAACATTTATAATTTCTTTGAATAATAAGCTTGTTTAAAAGAAACAATAACGATGTATCTTGGTTGAAAAGACTTTCTGAGAGTGTGTAATCTTCAGAATGCTCTAAGTGCTAGTAGAGCCTAGATATTATTGGTAAAGGAAGAAAACTCTAGTACTTTGGGTTCCAAGTAAAAAATAAAATATTTGGAAGTAGTATAAGAGCAATGTAGTGATTATTATCCCATAAAGATATCTGTTGTATAAAATGATTGTACTGACTGAGTCATTTGAAGAGTTTGGTCTTCAGCTGCTTAACTGTACAATTTTCTAAAGTATATTTTATGCTCCCTTCTTTTATCAAAAAAAAAAAGAAAGTTATTGTTCCTATGGTAGGTCCATATTTTCAAAATTGTTCGATGAAATTGTACCTTTAATTTAAATGTTATTGGTAAGCATATGCAAATTTATTTTTCCACCACTCTGTGCCAACAAAATAATGAAGCCCCAAAAAGGGAGAAAATACATATGATAGCTCTCCTTATTATTATAAATTATATGTTTGGCTGCAAACAGATTTTCAAGGTACAATTTGGGAACCTGCCTTTGAAAACTGGACCCCATATATCTAAATCGGGACTGTAATTTAACTAGTTTGTGCAAAAGTTTTGTGTCTTTGCCGTGTGAAATATTGAGGTGTGCTACTAGTTGAATCAATACATACATCCAATGTGTGCTTTCTTCATGCAGGGATTTGAGACGGCTTGGAGTGACTCTTGTTGGTCACCAGAAGAAGATCATGAACAGCCTTCAAGAAATGAAGGTGCAGCTGGTGAATGGGATGGTGCCATTGTAACTTCATTTTAATGTCACTTCGTCAAGTGAATGATTCTGCACTTTGTAAACAAGCCCTGAGATTTATTTTAACAAATAAACAAAAAAAAAAAAGGGAAAAAGGGAAAACTCAGTGATTTCTAAACCTTAGGAGAGCATTTGTTTCAGCCACAGAATTTGTAATCAGTGTTTTGCTAAAATCTCCTTATCTTCCTCAGTGTCTTCATTTTTCATGAAACAAATATAACCTGCATGGAATAAAAACATGAATTTAAACATTATCTTATGTTGCAACAAGAAAATCCTTTCTGCTACTTCTACAAAATTTTATAAATGAAAAATATAACTATATAGAGCACCTTTACAGACTGAATTAAGGCAGCCCCTTTCAAAACTTCCAAGAATCTACTTGAAAGGAAAAGTTTATAGCCATTCGTGGGCTAACAAAAGCTGCAATTTACTGAAGTTTACTTCAAGTCTTAATCGTCTACATAAGTGTATTGAAGAGCAATATGATTAGGTAATTTCTTAATAGATACCTTCTTTTGTAATTTTAAAATGCTGTTACACAGCGTTAAGTTATAGACTCTAGTGTATAAATATGTTGCTTGATTAAGGACAAGTACAATACAGGGTGTATATTTATTTTTCTGTGTTATAAAATTTACTTTTAGTTGCTCTTCTAGAAACCATTAGGTAATCAATGTGTATATACTGTATAATTTGCTATATACCCAGGAATCAATTTAAGTTGCAGTTTTGTGTGTAATGCTTGCACATGTGTGCGTTATCATTCTGCTTGCATTTTTGATAGTTTTAATTTGGGCAACATACAGGAACAAGTGCTCCACAGTGTAATATGAATAGGAGAAGTAGGGAAGCGGTAAAACGAAAATTTAACACAAGCTTGTGTCTCTCTTCCTCTCATGTATCCAAAAGCTACTAAATCTCTTTATTCACTAACAGGAAATGTCTATAAGATTAAATCCCCTTTGGCTTTTTGAAAACACTTTGTGATATCTGTGACAATGCAGTTCTTCTAGCCATTAATCTTGCACCCCTGTAAGAAATTTCACCTTTCTGAGTCCCAGAAAATATCTTGTCAAGCAAAGTTGACACCGAAGGGCACATTTTCAGCAGGATGTAGAAGGATTTAACTGTGCAGGCTTCTGTTAATGTTGTTAAATCCAGGCACATAGCACTAAGCGTTACCCCTAAGTGTTAATCCTTTGTAACCATTTCCCTTGTGGTTCAGCCCTAGAAATTTTGATACTAAGGCAGCAATGGAATAATGAAATACACACACACACACACACACACACACACACACACGTATATATAATATATCCTTGTTTCAAAACTTAGCAAATTTTATTAATTGATGGCTGTTTATTCATTTGGTAATTTCTTCTTATATTCAGTTTCATCAAATTGAACTTATTTTGATAAACCAGTCCAAAGTATTATTTAGTTGACCTTATTAAGGAATATAATATATGTTCTATGTACATTCTATGTACCGCACTTGGTGAAGACAGACTTTTGTGTTATAAATTATATGGTTCATTAGAATTTGAATAAAACTGAGCTTCTTGGTGAAATAATACATTTTTTATAGTATTACATTTTATAGAAATCATAGAATTCAAGGAGCACTGCATTTGAACAAAATATAGCCTATTTATGATTATCAAGGGCAATAGTATATTGGAGTAGTCTGGATTAATGAAATCCATAGAAAATATACCTGCATGATATTAATGGTATTCTGTCTTTTCCAAGCACTTGCTTTAGTTGAATGTTAGCACACACAAGAATAAACCTTTAAGGAATAACTTCTTTCTACCTTGCCCACTTTTTACTTAAGCAGTAGGGTAACTCTTTGCTAAAGAACATGAAAAAAAAAAAAAAGAAAGAAAAAGAAAAAAGAAAAGGAAAAAAACAAAGGTCTAAACAATTTTCAGATGGTATATTTAGTTCAGCCCAATTATGGCTATAATTTATTAAACCTACACTGTACCATGAGTCCTAACAAAATACACTTCAAGTATATTTTAATAGATTAGTGAAATTTGCAGAGGAAGTAGAGAAGGTGGATTCAGCATTGTCTTGATAAAATCACAAGTAAGCGGGCATCACTATCATGAAAAGATGCCTTTGTTCATTTCAGGAAAAGAAATGAACTAATTCTTTTTATACAAAACAATTGGAGATATATTGCACTTTATTGAATTTTGTAAAAAAAAAACAACTGAATTTAAGTGATAAAGTAACAATTGAGAAACTTCAAAGTAGGAATAGACATACTGACTCTAAGTACAAACTATCATAAATGTTAGGACTAGCCACAATGACTCACACATAACAAAGATATTTTCTGAACTGTCTTCTAACTTTATATGTTCAAAAATGATTGGGAGATCAACACAGAGATATCTAAGTGACTAGAATTTATTATTCAAGTAGATTTCCTTTTTTTCCACAAAAGAACAAAATAAATTAATATGGATCGATTCCTTTGCAGTCTTGGTATTCCTTATGGAACATAAATTGAGATGAAAGTTAGACACATCAATTTCATCTATATATCACTTTGGTTGAGAATTTCTAAGGAATGAAATATGATTTTAATATAAATAAAGAGACTTTCAAATAAGATCTGCTCTCCCCCACATAAAAAAGGAGGAAAGAATTCCTTTCTAAAATACTTATTCACCACTGGATATGTCACCAATTGGGAAGTGCCAATCTCATCTATAAATGTGAGAAGTGGAACCAGGAGAAGAGGCGGCTCTTGTGAAATGCGGTGAGGCAGTAACCCAGGGCGAGGTTTGACAAATCTTGATTGTGTGATTTCTTATCCTTTTGGTTCATTTTGTCACCCGCCAGACAACCAAAAATAAAACGTAGACTCAATAATTTTAGCACATAAGATAGATTTGTCAAATAATACATAATGTTATTGTAACTATCAAGTGGCAATACCTTTAAAGTATAAGTCGTTCTCAATGTTGAACTTGGAAAATAGGTACAAGCAGGCAGTTTTTTTCAACTTACTGATACGTGTTGAAGTCACTCAATTTCTACTTCTATCAATCATAATTTGTTTCCTAATCTTCCCATTGGCTCACATGTTCTTCTTGGCCATTGAAATATCTGAATTGTATGTAAAAATGTAAAGATTTTGTTTTTCCCATGTTAAAAAAAATGTGCATGGTCTCTTATTTCTTCTCTTTTAATCACCAAGTCAGTGTTCTAAAGTTGTAGGATTACTGTAAAAATTATATTCCAATACTCTATCTAAACGTAAATGTGGCCAGCATTATTGGTTTCTGCATTGCCAAAACAATACAGGGCATCCTTTGCTGAGTTTGTGAAGAGTTTTAACCAGTGTCCAATGGTGAGGAGATAGTTTCATATCTTAAGTTTAAAATGTGAAACTAATATCTGTTGAACACTTAATGTGTTTGCATGTCTGCTATTTACTCTTTATGCGAAAGTCAAAGATTTTTTTTTTCAACACCATTCTTTCTCTCATTTAATGTGGGCTTGCAGAAGCACAAGTAGAAAAATTTACCCGTGGAAGACATTTTTGTTTGCAATGGTGTGTTGGATGGCAAATTTGCATCAGATGTTAGAAATTTACTAGATGTACAATGTTGCATAGTAGAATAAGGTCTTTTCCCCATTTTTTTCTTTCTAAAAATAAGAAGACAATATACTAAATATGATATAGTAAGCTGTCTTTGCTTATGTCCTGCCAGATGTTTAAACTCTAAATAAATAAAAAGTAGGTACAATATGATGATGATGATGAATAAACAATCAAAATGCTAGTTTTATTTGAAATTAATAACTAGAATATGTCATCATCTTTTCAACTCTGTAGCACAGCTGGTTACATTGAATATTTTTCTCTATTATGCTGTTAATTATATAGTAATGTATCAAAGGAGAAATAGATAAGAACTTTCTTTTCATGTTGGTTTATAAAAAACATCTTTTTACATATAAATGATTGAATGTTCTTATTCAGAATGACCACAAAATTATTGCTTAGGAGAAGACACAATTCTTTAAAAAGAGAGCGAGAGAGAATCTATTTATAATAATCAGAATCAAATGTCATTTGTTTCTTCTAAATGTAAATGAAAAAAAATTGAAGGTGGCAAAATAAGTCATGTTTATTCAGTCTGGGCTATATTAACAGTAGAGATTACAGTGGTCAACATATTTGTGAATCTTTAGATTGCTATAGTTTTACATTTAATAATTTTACAGTGTGTAAATTTCATTTATAATAGCTTGAGAATAAAATTTAGGCTCAGTTGTTTGTTAATATGTTTATTAAATTCACTTAGTTTCAGGCAGGTCAAAAGCAGCTGTCTAGAGCGTCTTATTCTAGGCTAGGCATCAGGATATCTCAAATCCCTGCCTAAGCATTAATTCACGAGAGGATTAGTGTTTCTGTATTTTCTTCCCCATTTGAAGCTCTCTGTGCATTTGGTTTGTGTATATGTTTTTGTAGTGTAAGATATGAAATTTTATATTTTTTCAGAAAATAAAAAACCCTTTGAATACAGTTAAATCCGATTGTCATGCTTGACCCTCCCCCAATAGATTCTAAACTTACAGCCTTTGTATAAAGATTTCAGTTAGTTCTAATAAAAATGTTTGAATTTCCTATGCTAAATATTTAAAATGCAATCAGCATTCATTTTCTTCCAAGACATATTCATGAATCTTTGCATTCGAGTATTTTTGCAACTAGGGTTTGACATAAGACTGTAGGACATGAGCATAATTGTGTGAAACCTAATTAGAAGTTGATTTGTGACAGTGTAATACAGCATTGCTTGAAAAAAAAGCAAAAACAAAAACAAAAAAACAGAAGACTGTACCGTCTGCAAAAAGAGACTTTGCTGTGTAGCATAGTTGGTCATCATTTCACTGCCAAGCATCTGCTTGTGGTTTGGGTGGAGGAGTTACATCCTTATAGGAAAGGGTGTCAGTAAGTACAAA